TAAGTCAGAGTAGTAGCTACTGAGGGAGCCATTGTATTTACTTGTGTATTTATTTATTTATTTATTTTTAAATATATTTTATTGATTTTTTTACAGAGAGGAAGGGAGAGAGATAGAGAGCTAGAAACATCGATGAGAGAGGAACATCGATCAGCTGCCTCCTGCACATCCCCCACTGGGGATGTGCCCACAACCCAGATACATGCCCTTGACTGGAATCGAACCTGGGAGCTTTCAGTCCGCAGGCTGATGCTCTATCCACCGAGCCAAACCAGTTTCAGCTACTTGTGTATTTAGATGTGTACACTTTGCAAAATATCAACAATCTGTAAACTTATGATTTGTACTCTTTACTATATATGCTTGACTTTAGAAACTATTCTTATGAAAAATGAAGAAAATATATTGCTGGGATTAAAACAACTTTGATTTTTTGTTTTTTTGATACATATAAACCTTTACATTTCACTATCCTATATAATAAAAGCCAGTGACCAAAATGGCAGAACAAACAGAACAACCAGAAACCAGAACGGCTTTGCCTCCCCGCCTCCCCCGCAGCAAGTGGTTAGGGGCAATCAGGCAGGCAGGCAAGTGGAAGTGTTTAGGAGTGATCAGGCAGGCAAGTGGTTAGGGGAGATCAGGTAGGCAGGGAGAGGAAGTTAGGAGCGAGTGATCAGGCAGGGAGGCGAGGGGTTAGGGGCAATCAGGCAGGCAGGCGAGTAGTTAGGGGTGATAAGGCAGGCAGGCAGAGGTAGTTAGGGGTGACCAGGCAGGCAGGCACAGGCAGTTAGGGGCGATCAGGCAGGCAGGCAGAGGTGGTTAGGGGTGATCAGGCAGGCAGAGTGGTAAGGGGCAATCAGGCAGGCACACAGAGAGGTTAGGGGTGATCAGGCAGGCAGGCAGAGTGGTTAGGGGCAATCAGGAAGGCAGGCAGGTGAGCAGTTAGGAGCCAATGGTCCCAGATTGTGAGAGGGTACAGGCTGGGCTGATGTACCTCCTCCCACCCCCCCTCCTGCCCCCCCCCCCGCATGTAAGAATTTCATGCACCAGGTCTCTAGTGATAATTCTAAAAGACTGATATTTTTGGGTTTAGTTGTGTAACACTTTTGCCAGAGAAAGTTTAGTGAGTGTGAAGTGTCAGCGGCATAATAAATGCTTGCAAATTGGGTCTTCTCCAATTGGAAAGCTCACTCTTAAAATCCAGCTGCTATGTACAGAAGCCAACCTAGCCTTGTGGAGAAACCTTTGTGTGTTTGTTTGTTTGTGTTTGTTTGTAATCTTTATTGTTGAAAGTATTACATATGACCCCTTTTCTCCCCCATTGACCTCTTCTGATCTGCCCCCACCACCTACCCAATGCCCCAGGCCTTCACCCCTTATTGTCAGTGACCATGGGTTAAACATATAAGTTCTTTGGTTGATCTCTTTCCACCCACCCACCCTCCTCTGCCTTACTCTGAGGTTCAAGAGTCTGTTCCATGCTTCTATGTCTCTGGATCTATTTTGTTCATCAGTTTATTATGTTCATTAAATTCCACATATGGATGAGATCATGTGGTACTTATCTTTCTCTGACTGGCTTATTTCCCTTAGTATAATATCATCCAGGTTCATCCATGCTGTTGCAAATGGTAAGAGTTTTTTCTTTTTTATAGCTGTGTAGTATTCCATTGTGTAAATGTAGCACAGCTTTGTTATCCACTCATCTGCTGATGGGCACTTGGGCTGTTTCTAAATCTTAGATTGCTGGGGTCCAATCCCAGCAGGTCCAGGGGTCTCCAAAGGTGTGGACGGAGTCGGCGAAGAAGGAATGACACGAAGACAGCGTTCAGTTGATCAGCAGCCAGGTTCTCCAGCCAGGTTCAGTCACCAGGTTCTAGTCAGGTTCTCTTGCCAATTTCTGTAGTCAGGTTCAGTCCAGGATCTTTTGCCATGTTCTCTCGCTAGGTTCTGTCTCTAGGTTCTGTTGCCAGTTTCTGTCCAGGATCTTTTGCCATGTTCTCTCCAGCGAAGTTCTTCTGTCTCTAGGTTCTGTGTAGGTTCTGTCTTCTAAGTTCTGTCTTCTAAGTTCTGTGTTCTTACATCTGTATTTATACCAGTTGATTCCAATCCTATCAATCTCTATTCCAAAGGTTAGGGCGTTTCTTATCTCCATCCCAGGTAGTAAAGATTATGTAGCTTAAGCATGATTGTTCGTAGTTAAAGTGATTAATTACCGGCCTGGCACTTAGTTAAGAGGTTTTATTCCTCCCTAACTTCAGGGGAAAATCCCTACCTGGGGAAACAACCTTTCTCAGAGACCTTGGTTAAAACACATAGTGCCAAGAAGGTGAGCAAACATATTAAGAACAGTATGCCATATATGCCAGGTCCCTTGAAACAGCAAGGATGGACCGGCTCCCGGCATTAGATATTATAAATTACGCTACTATGAACATAGGGGTGCATATGTCCTTTCTGACTGGTGTTTCTGATTTCTTAGGATATATTCCTAAAAATGGTATCACTGGATTAAATGGGAGTTCCATTTTTAATTTTTTGAGGAAACTACATACTGTTTTCCAAAGTGGCTGCACCAGTCTGCATTCCCACCAGCAGTGCATGAGGGTTCTTTTTTTTCCACATCCTCACCAACACTTGTCACTTGTTGATTTGTTGATGATAGCCATACTACCCAAAGCAATCTACATATTTAATTCAATCCCTATTAAAATACCAATAGCATATTTCACAGATCTAAACAAATACTCAAAAAATTTATATGGAACCCAAAAAGACCCTGAATAGCCACAGCAATCTTGAGAAAGAAAAACAAAGTTGGAGGATTCACAATACCAGATATCAAGTTATACTACAAAAACCACTGTATTCAAAACAACCTGGTACTGGCACAAGAACAGGCATGTAGATCAATGGAACAGAACAGAGAACCTAGAAATCACCCAAGCCATTATATTCAATTAATATTTGAAAAAGGAGGTAAGAGCATACAATGCAGTAAAGACAGTCTCTTCAATAAATGGTGGTGGGAAAATTGGACAGATACATGCAAAAAATAAAAATAAAACTAGACCACCAACTTACATCATACACAAGAATAAACTTCAAATGGGTAAAAGACTTAAAAGTAGGATGTGAAACCATAAAAATCTTAGAAGAAACCATAGACAGCAAAATCTCAGACATCTCTGGTAATAATATTTTACCAATACATCTCTGTGGGAAAAGGAAACTAAGGAGGAAATAAATGGAACTACATCAAAATAAAAAGCTTCTGAACAGCAAAAGAAACCATCAACAAAATGACAAGAGAGCCCACTGCATGGGAGAACATATTTGCCAATGATACATCCAATAAGGGGCTAATTTCCAGAATATACAGGGAACCATACAACTAAACAAAAATCAAATTTAAAAAATGGGCAAAGGTCCTAAATAGACACTGCTCCAAAGCAGATATACAAATGGCCAAGAGACATATGAAAAAATGCTCAGTCACTAATTGTCCAAGAGATGCATATCAAAATGACAATAAAATATCAGCACCTCACACCTGTCAGAATGGCTACCATCAATGAAACCATCTATATTTAGAGAGGTCTCTACCTTCAGCTGTCCCAACAAAGGCAACAGAAATATGATGATGTCATCTTGGACAATATTGACATTTGGAAGTGGATTAGATTAGGTCACCAGGGTCTATCCCTAATGAATGAGATTAGGGATTAGTACCCTTATGAAAGAGATCCCAGGGAGCTCCCTTGCTATCCTCCACCTTGTGAGGACATAGCGAGAAGACAGTTATTTCTGAACCAGGAAGCAGGCTTTCAACAGACACCAAATGTGTTGGCATCTCAATCTTGGACTTCTCAGATCCCGGAACTGTGAGAAATAAAGGTTTCATATTAAAGGCTCCCAGTCTATGATTGTTTGTTGTAGCAGCCCAATCATACTAAGATAGTAGGTTATTGAGATAAGCAATTATCCCCGGGTTGCCAAAGTTTAAGCATTAAGTTTATGTCAAGTTTCCAGCCCCTTCATTTTATAGTCATTAAGAATTTTTCTTACTTTCTTGTGAGAACATTCAAGTGGTTAAAACTATATATAATATACTGTATCCTACAATTTAAGTATATAGTTGTAAAATATTTTAAATTTACATTTCTATATTTAAATAAATTAATAACCTTACTTTTTTATACTTCCTAAATTTCCAAAAACTTAAAACATGAAATGTCATGTGGCCTGGCACTAATTATATGTGCAACCACTTCACAAGCTCTCCTTTTATTTTTTTTAATATATTTTTATTGATTTCAGAGAGAATGTGAGAGGGAGAAAGAGAGAGAATCATCAGTGATGAGAGAGAATCATTGATTGGCTGCCTCCTGCACACCCCCTACTGGGGATCGAGCCTGCAACCCAAGCATGCAACCTTGACCAGAATCGAACCCAGAACCCTTCAGTCCACAGACTGACACTCTATCCACCAAGCCAAACTGGCTAGGGCCACAAAGCTCTCCTTTTATATCCCAACCTATAATCACTCTCCACTCCTTTTATTTTCCTAAGTTTTTAATGCAGACACTTCTCAGATATAGATTACTAGATTTTAAACTGCTTTATATATTAGCTATAATAATTTAGAATGTGAGAGTGTTTTCCTAGCTAAATTGTCAGAGGCAAGCAGGGAGGAAGCTAAAGGTGAAACAAGAAGATAAAAGTTTGGGTAATAAATCCTCATAGTAATTTGCATATAAAGTATGGTATTAAGTATATTGTTGCTATGGTCATATAAATAAGATTAATTGACAGTACCTCTCACATATTTCTGCCTTGCCTCATTCCATCCTCTGTCTTCCAAGATTATTAAAATTGTTAGGCTGCTTTTAAACATAAATACCACAATAGATATTATGAGTATTGTTATAATACCTAAAGCCAGTTATTTAAATGACTTCAAGAGCATTGTCACAAAAGGAGACTGTCTTTCTTACCAAGCACCTTCAGTTCCTGCACAGCTTCTTTACTAAAGTTACCATCTTTAAACAAACAGCGGTACTTTCCACCATCAGATACACTGACATTTTGGATCCTGAGAGTTATGTTGCCCTTTCCAATGTCTTCCTTCAAGATTTCTGTTCGTTTGATGTTATCCAAGCTGGTTTCTCTGTAGGGGTCATTGCCCCTTTTGTACAGTTGAAGAGGTTTGGTGAAGGATTTATGGTACCAATATATCTCCATGTGCTCTGCATTTTGTGCTGGGGAGATGTAGCAATGCAGCTTTACTTCTTCACCCAGTAGGGCCACCATAGGTCCAACAGGACTATCCACAGTAAATAGTTCTGTAGAGAGAAAAAGACCAATGGTTCAGAGAGTATATACTATTCTTGCCCACAAACATAATTAGAATGTTATTTTATAACCCCCCTTATTTTTGCTTTCAAGGCTTTTACTTATGTATCTCAATCTGAGAAGACAAACCATACTTGATGCACCAAATAAAAACTGGGAGAAGAATGGCACCTTGTCAAAATATAATCAGCTTCACAGAAGAAATTTCAAATCTGTAGACAAATCCTGGATTATATCAAAAGAGGTATTATTGTGGCTGTTACAGACAGTATATAAAAGGAGGAAAAGAGAGGAAAGGGAGGAGAGAAAAGATATGTAGAAATATAATGACATAGTGGCTAAAAATTTTACTATGATTTTATTTTGATAAATATATATATAACTTTTATTATATAAAATTTGACATCTTATTTTAACCATTTATAGTGTATAATAGAGTGGCATTATTATATTTACAATGTTGTACAATTATCACTATGATATACAGGAGTATTTCCAATTTTTTAAAATAACTTTAAACAGAAATTATGTGTCCATTAAAGCAACAAATCTCCACTTCCCATACCCAGCCCCTAGTAACTTCTAACCTAGTTTATTTTTCTCAATGAATTTGCCACTTCTAGACATTCTGTATAAGTGGGGGTCAGACAATATTTATCCATTTGTGTCTGGTTTATTTCACTTAGCATTTATGTTTTCAAGGTTCATCCATATTGTAGCATGTTTAAATTCCTGTTTTCAATTCTATTAAGTATGTACCTAAGAGTGGTACCTTTAGGTCATATAACAATTATATACTTAATTTTTTGAGGAATTGCTAAATTGTTTGCCACAGCAGCTGTATGATTTTAGATTCCCACCAGCTATGTATGAGGGCTCAAATTGCTCCACAACCTAGCCAAAACTATTTTCCCCTATTTCTGTTGTTATTATTATTATAACCATCACAGTAGCTGATTTGTAGTTTCCTAATGATTAGTGATACTGAGCTTTCTTCATGTGGTTATTGGCTATTTGTATATCTTCTTTGGAAAAATGTCTATTCTAGTCCTGTGCACATTTTTAAATTGGGATGTTGGTCTTTTTGTTCTTGAGATGTAGGTTTTTGTTATACAGGGATGGACAAAAGTAGATTTACAATTGTGAGTATATGAAACACAGAGTTTATTTTTATATTATTATTTATTAAATATTGTATTATTTTTCATACAAACAACTATAAACCTATTTTTGCCCACCTCATGTATATTCTAGATATTAAATGCTTATCAGATATATGACAAAAACTAAGAGGGCTGGTGCACAAAATTCGTGCAAAACAGGGGAGGGTCCCTCAGCCCAACCTGAACCCTCTCACAATCCAGTACCCCTCAGGGGATGTTGGACCGCCAGTTTCAGGCCTAAACCGGCAGTCAGACATCCCTCTCGCAATCTGGGACCACTGGCTCCTAACTGCTCACTTGCCTGCCTGTCTGATCGTCCCTAACCACTCTGAATGCCTGCCTGATTGCTCCTAACCACTCGCCTGCCTGCCTGATTGCCCTTAATCCCTCTGCCTGCCTGCCTGATCACCCCTAAACATTCGCCTGCCTGTCTGGGATCCCTCATGGTCAATCTCTATTGATTTATTCCTTCCTCATATGGCCTAAAATGTCTTCATTCTTTGCATGCATTTTAATTTTTAAAACTGGAAAATTTGAGAATTATAATGTGGCAACTCTGGAAATTAGAGTTTCCCCTTTCCATAGGTCATTGCTGCTTTTTGTATTTTTAATTACTTTTTGGATTAATTTTATTAATTCTACATTCTTGTACTGTGTTTCCACTAATTTATTAGCTCCTCATGGTCAGCTAATGATCATACAGAGACTCCCTTAATGTCTACCCTCCCCTAAATTTCCCAGTATTTGCAAAGGGGTTCTGTGTGTGTGTGTGTGTGTTAGGACACACTTTCCACAATCAGTTAAACTTTGCGTTAGCCCTCACTTCATGTTTTGTAAAGCCTTGGAATCAGCTAGAGATGATAGATGAAGGCCTTCTTAGGTCTTTTGCAAGTATGTCCCTCACCCTTGGTATATACATGTTCTAGATTCCATTGATATGTCTGAGCTTTCCAAAGCACTTTAATTCCCAAAGCATTTTATTCTCAAACCTTCCCTCTAAATCAGCGGTTCTCAACCTGTGGGTCGTGACCCCTTTGGGGGTCGAATGATCCTTACACAGGGGTCGCCTAAGACCATGGGAAAACACATATATAATTACACATATTGTTTTTGTGATTAATCACTATGCTTTAATTATGTTCAATTTGTAACATTGAAAATACATCCTGCATATCAGATATTTACATTACAATTCATAACAGTAGCAAAATTACAGTTATGAAATAGCAACGAAAATAATTTATGGTTGGGGGTCACCACAACATGAGGAACTATATTAAAGGGTCACGGCATTAGGAAGGTTGAGAACCACTGATCTAAAGTTTCTTACTTATTCTTTTACTTTACTCAACTTTTACTTATTGCCGCAGGCAGCAGCCATTAAAGTATTTGCTTGTAATCAAACACTAACCTCTCCCCACAAGTAGTTGTTTTAGCATTTGGCACATGCCAATTTTGACAACTTTGAAAAGATGAAGGCTAGTCTTTTGAGCCAGTTTTCCAAAGAGGCATTGGACAGGTCAAAACTAAAAATTGTAAATTTTTACAAATAAGGTCCACTTTGCTCCTTCTGATCTGATATAGTAACATGAGCTATTATTCTCAAGGCAACTGCTGAACTGGAAGTCAGGAGATAGGACAAGTTTAAGCTAAAAACAAAAATGTTTGTAGAGCTAGAGAGAAACATCAATGTGAGAGAGAAACATTGATTGGTTACCTCCAGCCCACTTCCCTACCTAGGCCAGGGATCAAACCTGCAACAGAGGTATGTGCTCTTGACTAGAAATTAAACCTACTCAAACCACTGAGAAAAACTGGCCAGGGCAGTTTTTTAACATTGAAAGATCACTTTGTTTATCTACTTAACTGAAGTTTTATTTTCATGCAGTGTTTAATTCTGTATACATACTACTATTACATTTATAATTCTTGCATAAATTCAAACGTTGCAATTTTGTGCTATTTTGCTGTTATTAATCCTCACCCAAGGATATTGTTCCATTGATTTTTAGAGGGAGTGGAAAGGAGGGAAAAGACAAAGAGAGAGAAATTTTGATGTCAGAGAGACACATAATTTGGTTGTACGGGAAGCCACCCACTGCCGATACTATCATGACAGTACACCAAGGAACACAGAAGGCCTATGGAACTTGGGTGTTAGCAGGGCTGATGCTAAGCACCTCATCTGTTGAGATAGTGGTGGCTCAAGATTTCAAAAGTAGACTAGAAGAAGCAATGGACTGAATTAGTGAGTTATAAGATAAGGTAGAGAAACAAACCCAATCTGAACAGCAACTGGAGAAAAAAATTAAAAAGCAGGAGAGCCTAAGGCAGCTTTGGGACAACACAAAATGAAGTAACATGTGTATAATAGGGCTGCCAGAAGGACAAGAAGAGCAGCAAGGATTAGAAAATCTATTTGAAGAAATAATGACAGAAAATTTCCCTGATATGGGGAAGGAAAAAGTTACACAAGTACAGAGTCCCAACCAAGATGAATCCCAAAAGACCCACACCAAGATACGTCATAATAACGATGGCAAATGTTAACGACAACGAGAAAATCTTAAGGTTGCAAGAGAGAAACAGAGAGTTACCTACAAAGGATCCCCCAAATGATTTCTCAATAGAAACACATCAAGCTAGAAGGGAATGGAAGGAAGTATACAATGTGATGCAAAGCAAAGGACTGAATCCAAGAATACTCTATCCAGCAAGACTATCAATCAAAATTCAAGGGGAAATCAGGAGCTTTGCAGACAAAAAAAAAAAAAAAAAAAAAAAAAAAAAGGAGTTTATCACTACCAAGCCAGCAATGCAAGAAATGCTAAAGGGAATGCTGTAAAAAGAAGAAATAGATAGGGAGGAAGGAGCACAGGCATAAAGTATAGAAATGGCTACAAATAAGCACCTATCAATAATAACATTAAATGTAAATGGATTAAATGCCCCAATCAAGACATTGAGTGACTGAATGGATAATAAAATATGACCCATATATATGCTGTGTACAGGACACCCACCTCAGAACAAGGAACTCACACAGACTGAAAGTGAAGGGATGGAAAAATATCTATCAAGCAAATGAAAATGAAAAAAAGCTGGGTAGCAATACTTATATCTGACAAAATAGACCTCAAAGTGAAGACCATAACAAGAGACAAGAAAGGCCATTTCATAATTCTAAAGGGATCGATACAACAAGAGGATATAACTCTGGTAAATACTTATGCACCCAATGAAGGAGCACCCAAATACATAAAAAAAACTTCTGGAAGATATCAGGGGAGAGATTGACAGCAACAAAATCATAGTAGGAGACTTTAATACCCCATTAACATCACTGGATAAATGCTCTAGACAAAAAAATTAGCAAAGAAAAATTAATCCTAAATGACTCACTAGATCAGATGGACTTAACATCTTTAGAACATTCCACCCCCAAATTACAGAATATACATTCTTCTCAAGTGTACATGTGACATTTTCAAAGATAGACCACATATTGGGACACAGGCAAAGTCTCTCCAAATTCAAGAGGCTATAAATCATATCAAGCATCTTCTCAGATCACAATGGCATAAAATTAGAAATCAACTACAGTAAAAGAAATCACAAAAATTCAAACACTTGGAGGCTGAATAGCATACTATTAAACAATGAGTGCGTTACCAAAGAGGTTGAAGAAGAAATAAATAACATACTGGAAACAAGCAACAATGAAAACACAATAATCCAAAATCTTTTGGACACAGTGAAAGCAATCTTGAGAGGGAAGTTCATAGCATTACAGGCATACTAAAGCAAAACAAACAAAAAAACAAACA